TTTTTTTGTTTTTTTTTGGGGGGGGGAACCCAAAATCAAACTTAAGGTTGCCTCGCACTTGCCCGGCAGGTGCCAAACCACTGAGCTATATCCGGATTTTGGTGAACATCATTTAAAATCCTCCTCCTCCTATTATTTTTTTTTTTTTTTTTTTTTTTTTTTTTTTTTTTTTTTCGGTGCTGGGAACCGAACTCACAACCTTGCACTTGCCAGACAGGCGCTGTGCTGCTGAGCTAAATCCCCAGCAGATATAAACCTCTTTAAACACTGTCTTTCTTTCTGTCTGTATATCTCCTTTTTTTCCCTCCATGTTTGTCTTCTGTATGTAATGTTCTTCTCTACCAATCTCAATTAATTAAAATTTTAAATTTAATTTTGTCAATGTGATGTACATGTAATACATGTAATATTATATATATGTAATTATTATGTATTTAAGTGCGTTTTGAGTCTCTTTATAGTCTTTTATTATTCCCTCTTCATTAAACTTTTGGATTTCTGTCATTTAATTATGTACATCAGATCCAGGTTTATGTTTTGTACTTGAAGTACAATTCATGACCATATTATTTAAATAATTGTTTTAAAATTCATTATTGTTTATGGCAGTTATCTATAATTATTATTTTTTCAAAGACCTTGTTTTATTGTAATAGTTTTGTGCATAGTTTGGGGTTATAGCTCAGGGGTAGACCCCTTGTTAGGCCCACTGAAGGTCTTGTCTTCAATCTTCAGCACTGCAAAACAAAATGTAGTATAACTTTGAAGGTACTTCATTATGTCATGATTAATGTTAAAAAATATGAACACTTTAGTGTGCATAACTGGATGTACTTTGAAATGAGTACACACAAGACACCATATTAAAAATTAGTGCCAGTCAAATTGGAACCTATTGTAATCTTGCCAAGTTGAGCAGAAAAGAGATGCAATAAATCTTTGCTTTGGTAATGAATGCTTCCTGCACAGTATGTGTTTTTTCTTTGATTTCATGTTTCCATTCAATGAAAAACTCTCAGTTTTGTGAAATGTTTCCAAAGATCATTGATGTATTCAGACACTTCAGACTTTGCAAATAGTCTGCTCCTTCCATGTGGGCTCCTCTTCCCTCCCTTGATATGGAGATCCCATCTAAGTGTCTAATCATCACACAGTATTCGAGAGCCTTTCAAACACGACAATCTATACCAAAAGTACACATCACGTCCAATACATCCTTCTTGACCTATCTTTACCTTTTTGCTTTGCTTTTCTTCCTCTTGTGATGATAGTGCATGAGATCCAGCATAGTGGCAAACTTACTTGTGCAATGTGATGTTTCTCATCATGTAACACACAGTACTCTTCAGAGCTTGTATTGCATAGCTTTCTGATTTTTAGTAAGGATCTCCTGACCTTCCACCTACTGAAAACCAATATTCTTTCCCATTCTGTAGATTTGGTCTTTGTGTATTCTACATCCATGTGAGATCACACAGCATTTTTAAAAACTGTCTGTGCCAGATTTATTTTGCTTAGAGTCATGTCTTTGAATTACATGATGTGTTTGTCTGTTACAGGGTTTTGTCATCTTCCAAGGCTGGATACTAGTCAATTATAAATGTAGAAGCAAATGTTCCTTATCATCTTTGCTTCAGTGACCACTTGGATTTCTTCCTCATGTTCGTTGTTGTGAATTATGTTTAAATGACATTAGAAAAGTATCTCTTTGAAGTCCAAGTTTTCATCTCTTTAGATATACACCAAGAGCCTGGATTGCTGCATCAAATGACAAGAACATTTTTTTCTAATTTTGGAGAAAAATCTCTATAGCTTTCCATAGCAGCAACACTGATTTAAATACCCCAGACAGCACACAAATGCTGTCTGCTCCACTCTGGTGGCTCTTCTGTGTCCCTGTGCTGACTTTTCCTGTTTTGGGAAATGGCCCTTTTATTCTGTGTGTGATTGGCTAAGAGAGGAACAAAAACTTCCAAAGACTATGGATTCTGTTCTTCTGCTCATCCTGGAAAGCCTGGGGAGCCCCTGCTGAGGTGGCTGCCCTCACTCCTCAATGTCCTGTGTGCTGTCCATAACCTGAACCAGTGATTTCAAAGTGTTTATTCTTTAGTAACACAAGAGCAAGTTATGCATCCATGGGAACAATCTGTCCCCTCAATCCTTCCCCAAGTCCTGAGCCAGAAAATCCCTCTTTCCCTTTACACCTTGAGCTGTATCCATACTTTTTCTATTTTCACTACTATAGAAGAATCAAAACTTAAATATACCTCTTTCAATGAGAAGTTGTCCATGAATTATTCTTTAATGATCTACCTCTTCCTGTTCAAAAGTAAGGACATTGGACCTGAGTTATAGGCATAACCAGAGAGATCATCAGAAATAATACAATAACAGAAACCATTGAGTCATTGCCTATACCTTAGCAAGGCCAACAGTTCATTATTTTATATGTCAAATGAGATGAATAGGCTTTTATTCACCATTTCATTTCCATCTGGAATGTTTATACAGTTGATCCTGTGTGATATGAACTTACCACTCAAAGTACACATGTCTGTATTCCACAAAAGCATGTACCTATACTGGCTTGGATGATCCCATGCCATTCTCTTTCCTCATACTCAGAGAATACAGTAGAAACTTTTGCTCTATTAAAAAGCTTATTTTGAATAATTCAGTTCATTCATCTACATCAGAGCAATTTCTGTGTCTTTGCAAATAAAGAACTCTTGACTTGGATTTGTGGTAAAAGGGTTAATTTTCCCCCAGTTTTCTGATATTCACAGAGGTGGCCATGGAATCCTCTGGGAAAAGAGGAAAGGCCTGGACCCTATTCAAACTTTTTTCTTTAGGGAGGTGATGTTGGGAAACCAGAGGAAATTTCTCTCTGTAGGGGAGAATATCTGTGTATAAAATTCTAAGGGGAAGCTCAAGATTTAATTGTCTTAAAGCGCCTGCCTGGCAAGCACAAGGTCATGAGTTCGATTCCCAGTACCAAAAAAAAAAGAAAAAGAAAAAGAAAAAAAAAGATTTAATTGTCTTCCTTGACAGGACACTTGATAGGAGCTCATGCTTTGCATGAATGAGTCTCATATCTCTGATTTAAATGAATAAAACTGGGCGTTCCTTCCTGTACAAAAGAACAATTTAATGATCTTACGTTGTTCTTTTTCCTTTCCAAAGTAATAAGGATCCAACAATCTACATTAGTAATAGCTTCAGAAATTCAGTAGAGTATAATTTTTTGGCCCAAAATTTAAACTTTGATTCCTGCATTTTTGAGGGAATTCAGTAGAAATTGAAAGTGAGGTTCAAGATCTGCACATTGAAAATGCTTCTTAAGTATTATAAAGAGTTGGCCAAGGAATCTATCTGGGAAATAATTTCCTAGAGTCTTCTGTTACATTCGCTCTTTTCTATGGAAAACAGTGCTGGGTCTGAAATCCATGTACTTCCTACAACCTCTCCTCGTTGATACCAATTCATAGTCTCACTCTAAAAAGCTGAAACCAGAAGCTGGTGTATGTTTGTGCAGGTCTATAATCCCTGCATTCTAGGAGGCTGAGACAGGCAAATTGCAAGTTAGACCTTGGCCTGGGCAACATAATGATTTTATTAGACCTTATATCAAAACTAAAAGAAAATCTATTAAAAAGCCTCAGGATGTAGCTCAGTACAAATGCCCAAAGTTCTAGCACAAGTAGCATCATAAATACATAAATAATCAAACTCAGAGGGGGGGATGTAGCTTAGTATTACAGCACTACTTTTTCAGGTTTGAGTCCCCTCAACTACTGATATAAATAATTAAATACACTCAAACCCAGTCAGTGTAAATAATTAAATACACTCAAACTCAGTCAGCATAATATGACATTTATAAATGAAAGAATAGTGGGTCTGGGGATTTAGCTCAG